GTCGTTCCACAGATTCCCTCTCATGAGTATCTGCATAAATGTTTGGCTCTGCCGATCCCCTCCACTTACGTCCACACTGGCCTCTCGCGATGTGCATGCAGTTGATGTCGTATTACATGCATATAAAGCTCAAATCCAACCTGCTCTTCTTATTCCGGTTTCTTTTTCTTGAAAGGGTTCACAGCATAGGGCCGACCATCCGCTTGATTGCCAAGCCGCCTTTAAATTTCAGTCCGTGGTTGCTATCCCCATCGCCAGGCAGTTGCTTCATTCTCTCTCTCTCTCTCTTCTGAAGTTCCCACTTTCGATTTCTGTTCTTTTGAACTTACTTCAGTGCTTTCCCTTCCCTTGTCCTCTTCTCGTCCAATTCGTCGATTGTAAGCCGCGGGAAATCGCATTCTGGGTTTCTGTCTCCACAGGTCAGACTGACTTCCATTCTTCCATGGTCTATTTTTTCTCCGACAGGACTGCAATATGGTAGAACACACTTTTCTTTCCGTGTGTTCAGCCACTGACAAACTTTACCTAGTCAAACGAGGGATAAACAAATTGATTCCAAACTTGAACGGTCCCCCAAATACTGGCCCGGTTACAACATATCTTGCCCCGTGGGGTTCACATCCTTTTTTATTACACACACACGCACACACACACACACACACACAGAAACGGGGTGGACTCCCACGGTCACAGAGACCTGTTGTTCAGAGAAAGAAACAGGTAACTTCAGCCCTGCGGGACCTAGACTGTAGCCAATCACATAAGACCCCATTGGAGGTTAGGCGTGGTTAGGTGAGCCGGACGATAACAAAGCTGTTTAACATTAAAATCGGGTGATGGGGCTCGAACCGCGGACTTTACGGTCCAAGACACGCTGGTGAGAGCGCCCAAGCTACTGGGCTACCACTAGTTTGTTATATTACCCATTTACGCGCAATAATAAAAAGCAATCGGTGAAAAATATTGCGGTTTTCCCTAAGAGATTATTGATCGAGGTCTTGAAATTAGCCGAGGAAAAAGAATGTGCGGAGAATGAATACACCAGGCTAAGATGGAAGATTGAAAAAAACTGATGAAAAGTCACTGACTTTTTTCAAATTGATGATGTCTACACAAAAATCAACCGTTAGGATCTGTTGATGATTCCATTTTGTATATTAGTGAACAACAAAAAAGAAGGGAACACATGAACTGCACTAAACAATAAATACAGATGACAAAGAGGAGTTTCATTTAACTGCGGAACTTTCCTCACTGTTTATATTGCGCACAAAAACAACTGATAGTCATTGCTCGACCGGTGTCGTTTTTTATCACACACCTTAGTGTAATGAACAACAGACGGGGAAAGCCACATAGTCACCAGAATCTGGTGTTTAGAGATAGATAGAAACCGCCAACCTAAGCCCTAAGACTTTGAGTGACGAACTACATAAGGCCCCGTTAGGTTGGGTATGACAATGAACCGGACGACAGCAAAGCTGACCACTACCAGAGTTAGGTGACGGAGCTTGAACCTCGGACCATAGGGTCCAAAGCACGTCGGTGACCGCGACTAAATCGTTGCACCACCACCCTTTTGTTCATTCTCTGTGACTAAGTGGGTGTGTGTGGGGGGGGACACATCTTTTGGACACTTCCGTCCCAATCGTGAACCACTGACATTTTTGACTGGTTTTCAATTTGAACCATGTACGAGAAAGACTGTAAAAAAAAGATAGTCGCGACACATTTTGACGGAGTTTATGTGCAAAATTATCTCCCGGTCTCGTGATAATCACATGATAATCACGTGATCGGTGAGTCCGATCGTGATATGACCATTATTTGATCAATGAGTTAAGTTACTGGCCGCAAGAAAGACAAAGAACAAATTCACCAAACAATTCGATTCATTGTGCTTCGACTGGACGATTATCAACATTTTAGAGGAGCAACTGTTTAAGTGAGTAACCACTAGTGAGTCAATAATAAAAAAATCGCAACTACTTATTTTCACTCTCATTTACAATTAGTTAGGTTCTCGCTGTTTGTTTGTTTGTCAAAACCACAAGTATTATTCTCTCTCACACACACACACATGCACACACTGCCAACAAGCACATGAATAACTGCACGGAGTAGCACCAGTGAAAATGGCCACATTTGAGTAGAAGAAAGCTAAACTCTTACTGTAGCATTTCGTGTGGGTAAAACAAACCAGAAAGCCAGTTCCGTGTAGGGACTACTGGAATGCGTCGAAGTAAGCAGTTTCGATGCAGTTCACTGTTGTTTAGCACATGTAGGCCATATACGACTATGGGTACATTTTCCGCCAATACAATTTGCCGTGGAACGTGTAAGATAATGATATCAAAGCACCGTTCATCAAGAGCCATATTCGAAAATCAAATTGGCTCCTCAACGATATAAACTATAGTTTTTTGCCGTATTGTACCAGTTGAAATGCAGCGAAATCTTTGTTTTTTTTTTATTACACACTTTCGTGTGGTGAACAGCAGACGGGGCAAAACCCCATAGTCCCGAGGATCTGCTGTTCAGTGATGAAACCCGGTAACCTAAGTCCGCGCGGGACTGGGAATGGCGAATCACATAAGGCCCTGATAGGTTAGGTAGGCGTGGTATTCAACCGGACGACAATAAAGCTGCCTACCACCAAAGTCCGATGGCGGTGGTGGGGCTTGAAGCTCGGACTACAGGGTCCAAAGCATGCCTGTGAAAGCGATTAAACCACTGCGCCACCGCCGCCATCGCTTTGACATAAACCGTGCAACCTAGCTTTATGATAATCTGTCTTCCTCAAATGCCTACAGAAAATTAATTTTAGTTAACCCCCTGAAATTGGCAAAACCTAAACTGAATACTTACTGTATTAATCGATCGCATTCACCAATGACTAAAAATCCCATATAGTTTCCCCAGCTGATCACTTGTCAAACGAAACATCATTTTACCCCTACATGTGAGTACAAAACCGGCTGATCAAGACGAAACTCAGCTGACTACATGAGTTTGAAAATAAACTGTATTTGATAATGAATTCGTTGTGTAAATGAGGTTTGAACTGAAAAGCTAAGAAGCAGTGGGCAGCTGTTTCTGCCTGTTCAGGTCTCATTAGCAGTACGAAGTCATCGACCCTATGGATGGGGATGGAAAACTGGACCTCACAAGTAAAACGCACGAATTCATCATTGAATCAAATCAAATCCCCCATTCCTCTCATAAAAACTGCATTGTTTGAAACACGAGGGAACTGTGTAAACAAGAAGAGATTTGAGACGGTCTCAAATTGTGAACCAGATCGATGTTATTTACACAACACGGTGCGATGGATCAACACTCGAGGGTAGAGAACCTCGGAAACCGAATACTGACTGAATCAGCTTAAGACACTGATGAAATGTTCTGTCACGTTAACTAAAACCGTGTACGATATCATCAAGAGGTCCCGGATTATACCAGTCGACTAGGGACAAGTGACCGATACAACATAAACGTATTTAGACAAACCTGATTGACTACTCATTGGTAGCCATATTCGGGGTACACAATGGACACAATATCACCAAAGAAAAAAATAGGACATGGTGCCAAAAAATAACAAATAAAAAACGATGAAAGTAAAGATTGCCACTGACTAGAATCAAACATTTTTCGGTGAACAGAACCGAAGTAACGATATTTTGTGGGAATGCAATGATCTGAATCCAAATCATTGTGCTTATAAAGCCGAATTGACTGATGGGAGCGTGCGCAAAAAATATGCACAAATAAAGCCTTTTTTGACCAATTATTGATGCACTGAAACAATCAAGCCATTCAATGGCACATATTACAAGCACAGAGTTCGCTTGCCTTGGAACTCGTTATCCGGTATAACTGGGTCATTTCAACAACGTAGGATACCAAAATACCTGTATACTCATAAACAGGATTGTGAGGCTAGCACTCATCTTCTGCATATCTATCACACCGGATATTAGACCAATGAGTTATTACTCAACATCACACGACTCGACTTCGATGGTGACCTGCACGTCTCTATCCATTAACAATCTGTCGCTTTTTCAGAGCAGAATCAATAAGCTGTATCTTGTGTGAATATTTCTATACTCTTCATGTTACGCGGTATTTTTTATTACGGGGTTCCCCCTTTGACTGTGGTTTATATCGTGTGTAATACAAACAAGATTAAGTGTAAGCTGGACCGGAGGTGCTACATACCACTTCTTTTAGAAAAATGTAAAAATTAACGTACATAATGCAATGGAAAAACAACTTCTTTGCCAATCAATCGATTCAATGAGCTCTCCTGTGACAAGGATTACCGGTATAGCCGAGTTCAGAATACACTTACCCAGACGTGAATTCCAATACACTTTGGAGACGTCCAGATGATACACGATTTGGTTCTCCGTGACCGAGGTGACATAGTCCGGTTCACCTGCCATTAAATCTAGCTCGAATGTTCGGAAATCGGACGCGATATTGGCGGCTTTGTGGATCACAGTGCGAATGTTGGCCACTTTATCGATCACAGCTTGACCTATCAGGACGAGACGAGTACAAACATACATTAAACAGAAGAGAGATAAAGAAAAATTAAAAATGACTAGTCAACACGTGAACTCCGTATTGGGACATTTAGTAGGGAATGAATATCACACTCCACAAGTTCCTCTTCCATTATATCGGTGTCTCATGGTGTTCGCTTCGTTAAGCAATAACGTTTGTATTGTCTTTTACCAGATCCGAGAAGCAGGTTCTTTCGGTTTTCCCGGAAAGTTTTACACCCAAGTGTTTTTTTGTTGTTGAATAAACAACGCGGGAAAAAGCAGAGAGATATTGAAACGAAATACAATCAGTGGTATAACCGATGTGAATGATACTAGATCATGAATGATATTCACAAATCCACCATATTACAGTCGCCCCATCTGCACCAAGGGTTCTTGAAATTCAGCGACTTGGTTTCTCACATCACCCAAATCCAAAGCACCATCTAGATCGAATGGAGCTAATCATGTCTAAAAGTAGTCTGTAGCTTTCCCTGCGACTTTTTGATCATATATTAAGAACTCCCCAGCGTCGTTCAGTCAGCTGGACTGATGCTAATAACCGCTAGGCAGTCCGGCAATGCGCAGACTAATCATTGGATCAGTCACTGTAGTCAAACGATAACTAAAGGGTGATTACACCTAAATAGTACACGTATTGAATGACTGTTGAGAAAATACCACTCATATAAACATCTTTCACTCGGTTATGATGAAACCCACTCGATAAAAAAACAGAAATGTGTTTGCAGCACACAATGTGGTTCATAATTTGTAGTTGTGGCGCGCAAATACAAATGATCTATTTACGAAGTGACTAGTCATGGGTAGTAAAACCTCAGTGTCAGTTATACTCGCCCTGGAGAACAACAATACAAGAACGTTGGCATAAGACTGCCACCGCAGAGTAGGTGAGCATTATGTCCGACTCAGGCAATCATATGCATCCAAACAGATACACTCATCCACGCGGTATCGGTGCAACTGGTACACAGATATAAGCCGGTCACTAAGTCAAAATGCTCAAGTGATGTACTAACAGCAGTGACATTTGACCTTCACGTATCTCTCGTAGTGGATCACAGTGTGTGCGTTTCACCTACGCTTGCTTATCCATTCAGCGTTAGGAACTGCTGGTGAGTTCACACACTTGTTTGCCCTTGAGCCTACAGCTGTACCCAGTTTGTACGCGCTGCACACACATTTTGCTTACTCCACCGCGAAACTGTGTAATTAACCGAAACGGAACAGCTACTGACGTTGTTGTACCACCTGATGTGCGATCGCAGAATGGTTTATAGGTGAATTTAGATGTGCGGCGACAGGTGAGAACAGCAAGAGAGGGAAGATTGTGCTGATCACCGCAGTACACAAGACCCCTTGACTCCGAAATTTTGAGTGCTGCATTTTTGACTACTTGTGAGTAATTACTCCGTAAATAAATCATTTCCTCTGGCACACCACAAGCAAGGCGGTTTCTGAAACCAAACGAACACGAGGTAAAAATTATATCCCGTGAGGCCGACTGTCAGGAACATTAGTTACATTTTTTTACCATGAAAAGCAAGGCAATCAAATCCACGGACCTACCAATCACATGGCGATACGGTAAAGCGTCCGGTTTCAGATTGAAATGAGCTACATGGCCCATGATGGTAAAACCAGTGACTGGAGCCACATGATCCGGGAGTAATTCTTTCAACACTTGCTCCAAATTGAAATTGTCATATGTGATTTGAAGCCAAAGAAGACCTGGAGAGCGAACCTCAGTTAACCGATCGAGCGTGAGAATTGGCGGATCCTTTGACCTGATCATCGAGTTCTGATCATCAGTGCCGTTACCGTTTGTTGTGTCCAACATCAATCCTGGTTCAGTTTCTGTGGATAATGTCTCCTTTAGGCTACAAGGGGTGATATTCACGTCGACACCGATTGACTGGAGTTTCGCAACCAGTTCAGTAGAATCCTTGTCCACTTTGTCCGGCTCAATTAGCATAAGCTTGCGCATTCTTTTCTCAGCGTCTTGACTGAAATACAAAACAAGTATTCTCTTGAACGGGAATATCACTTAGTTCCCTGAACAACAACAACAACAACAACAACAACAACAACAACAACAACAACAACAACAGAGATAAAACTGATCCAGAGTGACCAAAAAATGGAACATATGACAAATACGCGTGGAGCACAAAGTAAAATTGTGCAAAGAACGGTTCTGTCCGTACGGGAAACGGGAGATTTAGTGCAATGCATTATCATTTTAGCTCATAACTGCTCCAGATCACCTCTCAAAGGAAGCATCCTATCGTGCCGGAACTTCTATGCAGGCTCGGTAACAAATTCCCAGTTCAATCTAGATTTTTAATCTTGTTCCCTTATCAAGTGACTATTACTCGGGAGTGGTAATCGCACGAAGATTATTTTGCTTCGTGTGGTTGACCAAGGTACATTTTCCGACGATATCTCCACACGCGCAAACGAATGACTGCGAAAATATACCAAACAACCAATCCGAAGGGACCACGTAGGATAGAGATCGCCCGGAAAAGAAAATTGACGAAGCAGTCTCTAGGTGCGAGAGAAAGAATCTGAGTTGATCGGAACGAAGTCAAGGTCAATTGAAGTCTTTATTTGGGATGAGCCAAATAATTAATCCAAACATGGTATTGTTCTATTTAGATATCATCACTAGTGCTGGACTGATCATTCTGGTATACGATGATTGGCACAGTGGGAAAACCTAATTCTGTGGGGAATCTAGGGTGCAAATCCACAACGGGTAGGATGAAATTGAATGAAAACGAAATTCAAGACTAGTATAGTCCAAATGTGTACTACAGTTGACCGGATGAATTGAGGGTTCTGCGTAAAGACGGAGTCTGGAGAACACTGAGTGTAAATCAATAAAATGTTGATAAAAAAAAGGGATAACCGATGACCATGAAACTGGCAAAGAACTTACTAGATGTAGTCCAACTTCGGGATTCGTACGTAAGTGGGAAAATACGGACGCAATTTGGCACAGGTCTGTTTCGTTTGAGCATTGCAAACCAATCCAACTGCCAGCATCGGTACCACACGTTTGAACCAATCCCGATCAAGAGTGAAACTCTGATCGATCGGAGGCAATCTCCCCTCGGGGTGCTTTTCTTCTTCGGGTGGATCTTCACTCACCATCGTGGACTGGTGTCTGCTGATATTTAAATATGTGGCGAAAGTGTGAACACGTGACTGAACTGCTTTGGTGGGAGCGGAAAATGGCCCAAAAAGCCAAAATCTCCCTTGAAGGAAGGCAAACAACTATGGGAGGAGAAACGAAACTTTGTGAGGAAATGATTGGTCAACGAGTGCGTTGGTTTATAACGAAAGATAACTTGTTCAGGTAAACGAGTTAGTAGCGCCGTGAGCAAAACCACGGAAATGCGAGTTGTGGCAAATGTGCCACAACATATGAACACTAATCTAGAGAATGTCTTCGTCAATTGTGTGGGTATGTTACTTCCCGGTCGTCCTGATCGAGGAACGCGGGTAACCTCGGGGTCTCTACCCGAAGCCTTTGGCTAGAAAGCCAGACCTGCAACACAGCATGACGGAGCTCAGAGTCTGCAGTCCATTGAGGGCAGATGTTCAGTTCATTGGGTCATACACCCTTTGGACGGGGTCAAACGTCCAAGGTACCGGTGAAAACAGTCACAACCGGGTAGGTGGTTCTTACGCCTCTTTTTGGTTGGTTTAGAATCAGTGTTTTCGGTCAACTCCCCCTAGGTGAACCGCCAGTGATCCACTAGCCCGGTTGTAGCCCCGGGTGTAGGCTTTTCGCCCTCTTACTTTGGTGGGGGGAAAACACCGCCTCGAGAAGGCAGTGAGTAGGGCTTCCTCAGCAGAGGCCATTTGAGACGCTTGGGCATATAGGAGCATTTCGCTAGGTGTAAGTGAGTGGTGACCAGTCACAACCTGAGACACGCACCCAGACCATAGTGAGACTTGAGTAAAATACTCCTTTATCAGTATATATCACTCACGACAAGGTTCACACGTAACCCACATACATACCTTTCGGTTATTTGCAGGGCATAGATACTCATCATTGTTCATTTAACTTTCCTGGACTCTACGCCGGTTTTCTTTCTCCTAATAGTGGGAATCGGATAGTGGTGCTTCTTGCATCCAGAGTGTCATAGTTGGGCACTCAAGGTCCAATCAGCTAACTAGAAACATCACAAGCGGAGGACATATATATATACATATATATAT